TGTAAAGCTTGTTTACATGTAAAAAAGTTTGAAAACAAATGTAAAAACAAGCACAAGGTACAAAAAAAGTTGTCGAAGGTCTTCAAACGTGTACGACTGACCTTGCTCCTATTCGCTAACGCAATGACAGTTCTGACAGTTGACTTTGAATGGCTTTCTGGAGCGCGCGCTCAGGATAAAAACAAACAATAGCTATTATTGCCGTTTTCTTTTCTTTTTTTTTCTGATTTTTATTCAGTTATGCGATTCAAGGAAAATCCAATACCTGACTCGTGAATTCCACGTTAAAGAGTCGTTAAATTGCACTTGAAAACCGATATCGCACTCATCGCTTCGCGATTCGTGCGATATCGGTTTTCGCGTGCAATTTAACGTGGAATTCCCTCTTCAGGTAATGAATTTTCCTATAATAGTACTAGAAGTTGTTTTCTTCCGTTTTATCTTCTCTTCTCTTGTGAGACAATGACTGAAGTTGTACAACAATTTGTGACATTTGTGACATACCCACTGTCTAGAATGTCTAGAATGAGCCACGGTAAAGTCTATTCGCATGCTTTTATTCTGTTCGATCATTTTTTATTTTATTCGATCGGATTACAATCTTCTAATAGATCTCTATAATGCAAACACATATCCGCGGTGCGAAGTGGCGGCATAAAAATGTCAAAAATGGCATCCTAATTTATGCATGACTTTATTCTGCTTTTGTCGCTTTTAAGACTCTTTATTTTAAGCGCGGCCAAACTGGAGATCGAATGCTGGGCGCTATAAGTCATAAAAGACATAAAAAAGTTATTAATAATATTAACCTTGATGATTAACCTCTCACCTTTTCTCTTGTGGCTTTTGTCGTCATGTTGGTGTGAGCGTTTATGTCCGCGCTTTAAACTCTTGCCGACCTTGCTGTCTTTGCTGCGAGATCTGTGTTCTTTTTTGTCCTTTTTCTTCTTGTGTTTACCCATGATTTTAGCTGATTGTCAGCTTAATGAAAACACAGGAAAGACCTCTACAACGGATTCTTACAACTACATAAAACTTCAATGAGAATTTCTCTGACCTTTCTTGATCTTTCTTGGGCTTCTCCTATTTAATAAAGCTCTTTGTCTGTATAAGCGTCTTTTGTCTTTTTGTCTAGACACTCTGTAACTCTGACCAGTAACCATTACGATTGACGTAATGACCACGTGCCAACCATAACGATTGACGTAATGACCACGTGCCCTCTGTGACCTTCGACCCTTTTGTATGTGGTTCATGCCGTTCATGACAAGAAGTTAAGTGTGAATGATGCTTTACGTAATAGTGACAATAGTGATAGTCACGTCTCGTTGCAGAAAAGAGTCACGCGTACCTGGTCTGTCCGCCGTCGAAATGATGCAATAAAAAAGTGGGAAGATGTCGCTTTCTCTAGCTAAAAAATATATTGTCGTTGTCACAAAATGTCGCTCTTTTTCTGTCAGTTCCTGTCGGCTGTCGGTGTTTTTAAAAAAGATTGTCGCCACATTTTGAGGTCATGTCGCCTGTCGGTAAAACCCGTTGGAAGGCCTCATAGATAGCATGGTGGGTAGGTAAATGTTTCCGAGCGTAGTGACTTTATAATCTTGTCGCCCGAAGCTCGCGCGCAGGAAGATAGTTTCCACCGAAACTCCTCTGGAGCGAGAACGCCGACTTCAAATTCAGCGTGAACAACGAAGGAGAAGACGTCAACGAGAAACCGCGGAGCAGAAGGAACATCGCTTAGCACAACGAAGGCAACGCCGACAACAAGAGACAGAGGGACAGGAGATTGGAATCAGAGGCATTATGATCGTTCACTGTCGAAAACCCATCCTAATCGATATATGTAGATCAAAGTCTGCAAAGTTTCAGCTCTGTATTACGGCCCGAACTGTAATAATTTTCAGGCGAACTGCGCCGGGCCATATTTGTTCTTTGTTTTTGTCATTTTCTAAATCCAGACGCCGAAATAATGCTAAATCTGTTTTTCAATACACTGTTAACAATAACACCACATAATACGCAAAAAAAAGAAGAAGAAGAAAAGAAAGAACAACGTATAGACCTTTAAGACGATATTCGCGGTTGGTCACCCATCCAGTTCTTAACCCCGACCGACAGGGCTTAATTTGAGTGCCGTTACAGAACCGAGTTTCGCTAGGGTTATTGTGGGATACGTATTTCTAGTTATACAATAAAGTCCTTGATAAGGTCTAGTTCAACGTTCGTCCTTACGGTTTAAGCCATCTGTTGAAAGAGTTTTGCCTCTATTTATGAGGTAAGCTTTTGCTTTACAGCGTGACGCACTAAGTGTAGGTTGAAGTACTATGTCTGTGATCGAGTGGCCAGGTTAAGGGCTTGTTTACATGGAGGTGGGGGACCCCAGGTGGGTGAGGTAGCCCGCTTAGGTGGGGTAAAAATTATCGCTCTTTTACATGCAATCTTACAACCACGCCATCCCGGGGTGCACTTTCTCAAGATTATTGAATGGTCGCTAAGCACGTAAACAAGAAATATAAAGTCACGAGCTTTGGCGATCAATGCTCTTCTACACTCACTTGCTGCTCTTGCTGCAACCTTCAGTGCTGTGGCTTTCTATTGTTTCCTTCAATAATGATGCACAACTACCACCAAAGTCAATTCTGCGCGAATTTGATGTATCACGAATCGGACACCGGCTAGGCGGCTTACCCCACCTCGAACGTTTACATGGCAAGATTTGACCCCGGCTGAGAGGGTAACCCGGTCTGGCAGACCGGGCTACCCGCCTTGGCGGGCCACCCTACCTATCATGTAAACGTGATCAAATTAAAATGAGAGATTATATGAACAGGCGGGTTACCGCACCTAAGCGAGTTCCCTCACCTACCTGGGGTCCCCCACCCCCATGTAAACAGGCCCTAACTGAAGTGCGGAGGAACTGCTGATGTGGCGTTAGCGTGGAGTGGATTGTTCGCGGACTTTCTATGTTCTTTAAAACGTTCACAAAGCATGCTTTTAGTTTCACCTATGTATTTTTTTGTATTTTACACCCTTTAGATTCACATGTTTCAAGTTCCTTCGCTTCCTCATGGTCGGTATTTGGCAAACAGGCTGTAGGTGGCAGGTCCGCTTTGTGCATATTCTATATGCAAATCGCAATTCTAGCGTGTGTAGGTGTATCGGCTCCATTCTGTCGGCAAGTTTGGCAGGAACTTTGCAAGGTACATGTGTTTCACAAAGCCATTCAGAAGTTGAACTTCCATCACATTAGTGGGTTTCAGTATTTCCATCATTGCTTTGACTTAAAGTAGATCTGCTTTTGCCTTCATCAGTCAGCTCATATCCCATAAATGTGATTTTCTTTCTGAGTCGTTTCAGTTTGCTAGGGTTAGGTGCCACGCTCATGGAGCGGGATCTCTCTGAGAATTGTATTAACTTCCGGTCATGATTTACTTCTACCTCTTCTTCTGTGTTGCCAAAACCGTATATGAAGATGTCGTCTTTCATATCCAGAACGTCCTCCAGAGTTTAGATTACCCGTTTCCGGACTCTTTGAAGAGTCGGATTAATGAATGGTAGTCGGCACAAGCGGTATCTCTTTAAACGATGTGGGGAAGGTTGTGAAGAGACTAGACCCTTTATCAAAGATGCAGTGCCAGTATCCTAAGCACAGATCGACTGTCGAAAACATGTGAGCTTTTTATACCTCCGGCAGAAAGTCAACAAGGACGGGAAGCTGATATCGCTCTCTCTTGAGGCCTTTGTTTTGTAGTCTCGGGTCTATGCAATCCTGAGGACTCCCGACTTCTTCGTTGCCACGACTGCACTACTAACTCATGACGTATGTTTGTGTACTAATCCGACGCCTTCGCTTTTCGGCTTGGCTAAATCTACATGTTATCATTTTTGGTGGAAAATAACATTTAGAGGGGGCACTATTGGACAACAAAGAAATCAAGGAAATTTGTCCCAGCACAGGTAACCAAGGCTCACTATATTTTTTCATATAACATGAGTAAATATAGAGAACATATGGGGCGAAACTGATTTAGGTCTGGAAATTTGCTAGAAAATGGAAATAAAAATTGAAGAAATTTGCCATGTGATAAGTTGTTGTTTTCCTTAATATGCACACGAAGTTTCGGGAAAATAATCTCTTTCATCTTTCCCACATAGTAAAGTGGCCACTTGACAACCGCCGCCCGGTCAGCTGGTCGTGAGTTCAAACCCCGGACGGACCATCAACCAAGGTCTTTAAAAAACTGGTGAGATCATGCTAGATGTGAATCCCGTTTCTCAGTTCAGCTGATCGCGTCATTGGACGTTGACGTTACGCCCGTTGCCTTGTCTCCTTCATCCTTGTACTTCAGTTATAAGCGGATGTAAAAGAACCCGTGACATTGTTCGAAAAGAGTAGGGGATTTAGGCCCGATGTCATGGTCTATCTGACTTGTGCCGTCATCGGTGTGGGTAAGCGAGGTGTGATCAAAGCATGAACTGAAGTGGCTGCAAGAGTGCGCCTTTACATGCTGCCGTCCGATCTCACCTCTCTAGATCTTCCGCAATTCAGCCAGTGCATGGATGCAAATGAGGAAAGTCGGCACCGTTTATTTTTTATTTATTTTTTTGCGTTTCTGCACCGAGTACTTTTTTTTTTGGTAGATACAGCCGCCTCGACTCCTCAGGAAAAAAACTGGGATAGAAGCCCCTTTGCTATTTTTTTCTCCAAAGAAAAGAGGGCACTTTTACACAGGTTAAGTCAAAATGGTAACCCTTATAACATACTTTGGAGTGACAGGAAAAAGACAGAATCTTGTCAAGGAGAATTATAAGAAAACTTGAGAGAATACAGCTTTATCCTCTCTTGAAGAAGACAAATGAAGAAATTACTACTTCTCGCACGGGCCGGGGGAAAACTTGGTGCATACTTTACAACAAGGCCCTCAAAATTGGTGAATGAAAAGTATTTTATAAAAATTATAAACACTGACAGCACGCGTTTCGTAATACTCTTGATGTGCAGAATGGTTAATTTTATTTTCAAATTACTCTTTAAAAATCAGTGACCTTTTAAAGTACCATAATCGACTCTCTTGTATAAACAACAGACCATTTTCTTCTGTACAAGTAATTTACATAGGATTTGGTGAATTTAAACCCACGAAAGTTAGCTTCAACATAAAAATTATTACAAAAAAAGTGCGTGATGATGGAGATGACATTACCATACATAACTAATGTAGTGATGTACCGAATAATAATAATCCAGCATTGATAGAAACATTAACCCTTTGACGACCGCTTTGTCGTTTTCGTTCCAGATGCATATTTTCCTTCCTGAACCCATTAACTTTCAGTTTGAGCTATTAAATTGGTATGAGCAACAACATCAGCAAGGATAGATCTCTCCACCGGTACCACCGTACCTCGTTTAGAAAATTCTAACCAACGCTTAAGAGTTATAAACAAAAATATTTCATCTCAGCCAATTTACAAAACTAATTACCATACTAAACTTTTGCTGATTAAAAGTAGAATTACCAGTGACCAAATCAGTGTGTGTACTAAGTGACAAACTGAGGGATTTAGCGTTATTCAAACGACTTAAAGCATGCCTTGATGCCAACGTATTTTCTATGTACATAGGATACAGTGTACATCTGGGCCCAGTTGTTCGAAAGGTGAATAATGCTGTCGACTGGATAAATCTCTATCCAGTGGATAGGGTAATTGGTTTCCCTAATGTTTATCTGGTGGATGGTAATTTATCTGGCCCCAGTTGTTCAAAAAGTGGATAGCGCTATCCACTGGGTAAATCTCTTTCCAGTGAATAATGCAATTAATTTTCTAATCATAACTATAACAAAATTGTCAACTCTTATTGGCTATCAACTGCCCTGATTTCAGCCTTAATTGGACAGTTTAATAGGACAGTACGTGCCATGCCTAAGTAATTGAACAGTACGCGCCATCACGCGCGCGCTTAAATGGCTTTTTTTTTTCACTGCTAGCAAAACAAAATTTCGAATTTCTTGTCTTTTGGTTTAATAATGGCCTATTATATCACAATTTTTTTTAAAGTTATGATTAATTGGTAACAGAACTTCGTGTCGTCCAATTCGGTCTGTAATCATACTCGTGATTAAACCAATCGGACTCCCGCTACGTGGTCGTTCGATTTTGTTCATCACTCGTGTGATTACAGACCGAATTGGACTCCACTCAGTCCGGTTACCATTACTAATTTTCGTATTACTTATCCGCTGGATAGTGATTTATCCAGTGGATAGCGCTATCTAATGTTTGATCAATCACGACCTGGTGGATAGCGCTATCCAGTGTTTGAACAACCGGAGCGTTGTCAATAGATGGTGTGCCAAGAGCTAAAAAGACTTCAAAACTCCCTACCACTGCCACAAGGGCATTTTTCCTCACATTAAAAACCCAAACGAAGAAAGTTAATTAACCTTTTCTAAAGAGTTCCAAAGTTTCATTGAGGAACACAGGTAACTAACAAAAGTAATGGAATAACTGAATTCAAATAAAGTTTGCCTAAGTAATTAGATAAAAACTTTTGTTATTGTGGTGGTTTGAATGACTTCCAGCATCTCTCATTGAAAACCTGCAAATTAAAGAACAATTGATGAGATAACTGACAAATTTGCACCAAGCTCCCCTACAAAAGTATGGGAGAACAAGACTAGTATGCAGTACTTCCCACACTAACAGCTCTCTTGAACATAACTGCTGCCAAACACAAGCCAGCTATCTTGTTCATCAAAAGCGCTTTCCCTATGACATGATATTATTATTTTGCCTCTAATACTACTATTAGAACTTTACCTTTAGAGTACGTTGTTTTATAACCTCTTCTACACTAAGCTCTGACCGCATTAACCGAAGCTGTAAAACAAAAGAGAAAGAGAAAATGGTTGTATAATATTTCTGTGTACAGTGTTCATTCATGTCTGCCCGCAAAACTCCACACAAGCCTGGACCGCCCCACCCTTCCTGGTCATGTCAACTGTGTTCCTTACTCTGTTTGCCCCTCCCCTCCCGTATTTGGTGTTTCTCACCCTGTTTGCCCCTCCAATCCCATGTCTTTGGTGCCCCTTACTCTGTTTGCCCCTCCCCTCTCATGTTTTTGGAGTTCCTTACTCTGTTTGCCCCTCCCCTCCCATGTCTTTGGTGTTTCTCACCCTGTTTGCCTCTCCCATCCCATGTCTTTGGTGCCCCTTACTCTGTTTGCCCCTCCCCTCTCATGTTTTTGGAGTTCCTTACCCTGTTTGCCTCTCCCATCCCATGTCTTTGGTGCCCCTTACTCTGTTTGCCCCTCCCCTCTCATGTTTTTGGTGTTCCTTACCCTGTTTGCCTCTCCCATCCCATGTCTTTGGTGCCCCTTACTCTGTTTGCCCCTCCCCTCTCATGTTTTTGGTGTTCCTTACCCTGTCTGCCTCTCCCATCCCATGTCTTTGGTGCCCCTCACTCTGTTTGCCCCTCCCCTCTCATGTTTTTGGTGTTCCTCACCCGGTTTGCCTCTCCCATCCCACGTCTTTGGTGCCCCTCACTCTGTTTGCCCCTCCCCTCTCATGTTTTTGGAGTTCCTTACCCTGTCTGCCTCTCCCATCCCATGTCTTTGGTGCCCCTCACTCTGTTTGCCCCTCCCCTCTCATGTTTTTGGTGTTCCTCACCCGGTTTGCCTCTCCCATCCCACGTCTTTGGTGCCCCTCACTCTGTTTGCCCCTCCCCTCCCATGTTTTTGGTGTTCCTCACCCGGTTTGCCTCTCCCATCCCATGTCTTTGGTGCCCCTCACTCTGTTTGCCCCTCCCCTCCCATGTTTTTGGTGTTCCTCACCCAGTTTGCCTCTCCCATCCCATGTCTTTGGTGCCCCTCACTCTGTTTGCCCCTCCCCTCCCATGTTTTTGGTGTTCCTTACCCTGTTTGCCTCTCCCATCCCATGTCTTTGGTGCCCCTCACTCTGTTTGCCTCTCCCCTCTCATGTTTTTGGTGTTCCTCACCCAGTTTGCCTCTCCCATCCCATGTCTTTGGTGTCCCTCACTCTGTTTGCCCCTCCCCTCCCATGTTTTTGGTGTTCCTTACCCTGTTTGTCTCTCCCATCCCATGTCTTTGGTGCCCCTCACTCTGTTTGCCCCTCCCCTCCCAGGTTTTTGGTGTTCCTCACCCGGTTTGCCTCTCCCATCCCATGTCTTTCGTGCACCCCTTACTTTGTTTGCCCACCCTCCTCTACTTACATGTATCTCAACCCACCCATCTACATTGTATGGTCTCTTCTGACCAGTCTCGCATTTTACGCCATCTTGTTAATTATTCAGATCATTTAAGGTTTCTGGGTAACTGACCACCTACCCCTCCCCTACATCTAAGTCAACATTAGCACTTACATGTACAGTTGAACTTCTCAGTACAGACACCTCTATATTACGGACAGTTTCCACTGTCCCGACAAAATTCTCATGAATTTTCTTTAAAAAAAAAACCCTCTATGATATGGGCTCTCTCTGATACAGACAAAGGACACTAAATCTCGGTCCTAGAGAGTAAATTCAGAAGAACTTGACCACTTTATTACAAACACTGTGGTGGTCAGGTGAATCCCGAATCCCGATCAGGTGAATCTACAAAGGGTGAATCTTGTCTGGCTGATGAGCCATGCAAGGTGACTTCAAAAGCCCGTCGCTGTATAGCAAAAAACAATTTGCAAAAGGTGTGCAGAGAAACATAACCGACTTTTTTCAGGCTTCAATAACTACAGATAGCATAAAGATCTTTTCTATTACATTTTGTACTCTAGTTACTGTTTAGTGCACTTGCAAAATAGCGAAAGATGCTTTCAGAGTTGTGCTTGACATTACAACTTTTTACAGGCAGCATTCACTGTAACTCGTCTTGATATATACAAAGTTGTATGCTACTGAAAGACAGTGTCTTTGTACTGTGAATTAATAAACTTAAATGCAGTTTAAAGACAACTGTAAGCCTGGTTTTAGCTACTGAACACTTAACACTGTAAGTGGAGTCATAAAAATGACGTCATCGTAGTGACCTCTTTTATACGGACACCTCTCTAATACGGACACATCGCTCTGTCCCTTTGGTGTCCTTGTTAAAGAGTTTCGACTGTACCTCTCCCTCACTTAGGGCAAAATTGTGACTTCGGGGAGGATAGGTGGTCAGTCACCTAGAAACCTCAATTGATCCAATTATTCTCCCAGAGGAATACAGGACAGATTTCAAGTGATGGGGATGATTGAATGGGGGCAAAAATCAAAACCAAAATAGATCTGGACATGGACCAAAAATTAGCCACCCCACCCCACAAAAAAAACCCATACCAAATTTCCTAGCCTTAAAAATTTCCAAAAACCAAACAAGTTTGGTTGTACTTCATTATTAGCAGAACTACAAGGCTGGGATACCCAGGCACTAACACAAATCTTCAAATTATTTTGAATACTCAAAAAATACTCGCCAAATATTTCTACCCCAAAAATCCTGGCATCAAAAATTCAAACCAAAAAAATCCTTTGATCATCCCTGCCGCTTGAAATCCTGGGCACCCCATTCTTACAGTAATCAATTTACATCACACTTGTCAATTTGGCAATGCTTTAGGGAGGACATTTTTGGAGGGAAATTTGTGTGTTTTGAAGACGAAAAAGAAAAGGTTTTGAAAGATTTTTGATGAGTCTGAATTTTGGTTACATATTTTACCCATATAATTTAAGAATTTTTGAATTCTTAAATTTGTGTCATATACACTTAAAAGGACTGAAATATTTATGCAAAAATAAAAATAAAATATCTTAAACATAATTTTAAGGGCTCTGCATGTACATAGATATGGGGATAACTCAAACTTAATGGAAAAACAAAATGTTCAGTTGTGTTCAAATCAGGGAAGTCAAACAATAAAAAGCACCAAAGAGGCTTTCAATGATGTCTTCAGTTTACTCTTAAAAAGTGAGGCGACAGAAGGAGGCTGCTTTCATAGGGTCCCTTGCTTGTTTGAAGGAATTTGTGGGAATTTATTGGAGAAAATATGTTCATAGAAATGGTGAGAGTTTTACCTTTGTTTGTTCTTTCCCAAGGTCTTTCATTGCTTGTATGTCATCTTGATTCTTTTCTTTTCTTTTCCTAAGCTGCTGGACATTTTCATTGACTGTATTTATGCACTTCTTTATTGCTTGATCTCTTGTTTGATAGGCAGTCAGCAGCTGTAATATAACCAAAGCACCACTTAGAGGCAACCAACTACAGACTCCTCCGAAATACATTGAAGACACTTTTTAGGCTATCCAGAGTACTTTTACGGTACACCTGTAGAAATCTGTTCGAAACAGCTCTAAGAGGTTAGTATCTGTTCCTGAAGTCATCTTAGGGAAACTTGAGTCTTTTGAAATAACAAGGGCTTCACTATTTTTTGCCAAAAATGTAAGATGCAAATTAAAGCTTTACAAGGGTTAAAATTTTTCTGATTCCTCTCTCCAATAAATTTTTTAATCCAAAACAGTTACGTGATCCTTTTTTCTTCAAATAGCTGATACATATTTATGTACGTCATATTACTGTATACCTCATTGTATAGTTCATTGCATTTCTGCTTTGCACTGATTTCCCCAGCAAAAGAGGCAGTGGGAACACTTTTATTTAATTCATAGATTATTTTGTCATCAAGAAGGCGAAGAACCTTTAAAGCTTCCTGCAAGCAAATAACAAAGACATAAATTCAGAGAATAGCAAAGCTGTATTAAGTTTTGGAGCAGATGTAGTGGTAGCTTTTAAATACATGTAAACACCTGTAACATCTTTAAAAGTGAAAATAAAAATTGACTCCATGAATTGTGATCATATTTTCATGGGCAGATTGAAAAAGAGGCTGAGGGGCAGTGCCCCACCCTTTTTGTCAGAAATGTTGTTTAACTTCTAAAGAATTCTGTCTTCCAGAGCTTTCATTTCTTGACACAAATGCTCAAAGAATTCTTTCAAGAACAAATACTTCCTATGACTGCTGCCGTCCTTAAACTTCTCCCCCAACACTTTCTGAATTTTCTAGTTCAACCCATTGCTTTTTAAATGGATCCATGAATAAACCTCTCCCAGAATTCATAATCAGTAGATGTCTTAAGTATTTATGTGGTAAAGTCTTGTTTAATCAGTACCTTTTTAGAAGAAATACTTAAGTTTACATAAACATGGTTACCACAGTAGTTCCTTATACACTTGTGCACCTACTGCAGCTATGTGCACAGGTGAAAGTCACACTTGGCTGTTGCATGTAATTTGCAAACCTGCTGAGTCAAGGATTGGTGAAACTTTTTCGGGTCAAAAAAAGTAAAATTTTGGGGGCTAGAACCTACATTTTTGAGGGGTCTTCAGCTGGATATAATTTTATTTAATTCTTTAGGGGTAAGAAGAAAAGGTCAAAAGCACAGGAGAACAGCCTGTCAGTGACATTTCGTTCACATTAGCCAGCTTCCACAATGTTGATTAGCGCATTACCCAGTACATTGCGTGAATCTCAACACTGAAGGAAAGAAGGAGCATACACCGAGAAATTATATAAGTCGGTTAATAAGGTATAACAACAAAAATCCTCAGCTTTTGTCTAGCGTATCAACGAAATTTGACGACCATTGTAGCTATTAAAAATTCCACTATATTGATGACCCTTCAATTAATCGTTATAATTTATGGTAGTGTTCCTGAATCATACGAAATGTTTCGACGTCTAACAGCTTTATTTATGCCTAGACAAAGTAAGAGCACCTTAATTACCTTAAATTCTCGAAAATCTTCACAAGACATTTGGCTAAGCTCGCTTCCTCCAGCCGCCATCTTGATCCACGTGCCTAATGAGATACTTATTGCTCGCTACATGACGCTGCTATTTAACTGCTGTCCATCAGAAACTTGTTTTTGAGCCTGCGGTACGTCACTAATTCTTTCTTGACTTTCTTTCTTCGATTCTTCGATGTCTTTTAATTTTTTATCACCTAATTTGTTCACGAAATTTAGGAAAGAGCATTGAAAAGCAGTGATGCATCTTGACGCAGTGGGCTTAACAGGGATCACAAGATCACAGAACAAAATTCGTGCTTTTAACCAAATGAAACGATCAAACAAACTCCCTAGGGAAAGGTCCTGACTTATTAATCTTCATGTTTTCATGCTTCAGAAGCCGGCTATTATCATTGGACTTCAACTCACCGGTGTTAAATGGATGTTGTTGTTTTTCGCCTCTGTGATAAAGCACCCGACATTCTGAGAGAAGTGTGCTTAGAGCGTGGCTGGGAAGAGTGTAACGAAGATCATCTCGAAGAAAGTGGGGACTGGAATTTGTGGTGGAAAACTCAAGGTTTCACAACCAGTGAATACAAAAACTGTCGACCTTGGCAGCGTCTAAATCACTTTCCAAAATCAACAAAGATCACGAAAAAAGATGGCTTAGCAAGAAACCTTAGACGAATGAAAACGTCCTATGGAGGTTCTATTTTTGATTTTTTTCCTCGCACGTTTATTTTGCCAAATGAGTATAAAAAGTTTGTTTCAGAATTTTCCAAAGAAGATGGCGATAAGAGATCAAATTACTGGATTTGCAAACCGACGGAGCAGTCATGTGGAAGAGGAATCTTTATTTTCAAGGATCTTCATGATTTGACTTATGACTGTGCTGTGGTTGTTCAAAAATATGTGATCAAACCTTTTCTTATTTCGGGTTACAAGTTTGATCTACGTTTGTATGCCATTGTTACATCATTTCACCCTTTCCAGCTCTACATTTACCATGAGGGTATTGTGAGATTCAGCACTGAAAAATTTGATCTTTCTTCACTTGACAATCATTTTTCACATCTGACGAACACCACTATTAACAAATCTGGTCCACAGTATTCCACAGAAAAGGAAAGTATTGGGGTTGGTTGTAAATGGACCCTTAGCCAATTCCGTCTCTACCTGCACAAACACAACATAGATGATCGTGTACTGTGGCATCGAATCACATCAATTATCATAATCACTCTGTTATCCCAAGTCCGAGACGTACCCAGTGATTCTTACAACTGCTTTGAGTTGTTTGGCTTTGATGTTCTTATTGATGAAAAGCTGAAACCATGGTTGCTGGAGGTCAATTTTTCCCCTGCTCTAGGCAATGATTGCACTCAAGATGAGCTGGTCAAGAGACCACTGCTAAATGACATTCTCGAAATTGTGGACTTTTCTGAAGCTGACATCAAACGGGGCAGAAAAGAAAAGGAGACCACAGCTACTAGGAGAAAATCTAGAGGTGTAGTCCACAGTGTTCCAAGGAGTAATTTAAAAAGTTATAACTCAAACATGAATGACATAATATGTAGAAAAAATTCCAAGATTTCACTGGCTCTTTCTCAAGCACAAGAGGAAACTGAATGTAGGGATGTTAAAGAGTCTGGCAAGAATCATGTCACGCATGTTGAGAATACGAAGATGAGAAGCAAAAATCAAAAGCACAAATGCCCTGTGTCTGGTGCAAATACTCTTAAAACAATAAAGTCATACCAAGAATGCAAAACACCATGTTTAACGCACACTCTTTGTAGTAATAAGAAACTTAGCAGTTCAGAAGAGTTTATTAAAGCTGCATCAAGTGATGATTGTGATGGCCAGACCAGCTCAGGTTATGACAAAATTAATATTACTCTTAGTTGTGCTTCTCAATCTGATTTCAAAAGCAATTCTGGTTATGTATTAGAAGCAGAGAATGAGAACAGTCAGTCACTTTGTCTGGAGGAAATGGAGGAAGGTGAAAAGGGTCAGGGAAAGGCACACACAGGAAGGGCTTTAGAATTAGCAAGACCACAAAGTGTAATTAAAGGCAAAGCTTTGGATCCATCTTCTGGGTTTTCAAGGCCAAAAAGAAGTGAACTGCCACCTCACTGTTACCTGCGACGCTATAACTCAGAAGCATCATTGCTGAATGGTATTCAGCACTCAGGCAACTTGCATCACTCAACCTCAAAATACTTCCCACGGGTTGCAACTGCTGTTAGGTCTGCTCACAAGACTAGCTGTTCCTTAAAGCCTCGAATTGGCAACTGCATTCTTGCTTTCCCCTTCAGTGAGGCAACACTCAAAGCCAGTCAAGGAACTATGGACCTAAAGATTGTAATTGAAGAGATAAGAAAAATTTTGAGACTAGTAAGGAATCATGTCAAGTCATCACCGTCAGAGCTTAGTGATGATGGTAGTAATTCTCTGGACCTTTTGAAACCATTTTGGGGATATAGGTCAATGGTGAATACATTTTATAGCTCTTTGGAGCCATAAAATGACTTTGTAATAATCTAGTTACAGTGCAACAACAGATTCCCAATTTTTCCTGGCTACCTAAACACTTCGGTTATGTCAATCCCTTCTGGTTTATCCCCATATTTCCACACAATTCTCTTTCTTTTGAAGAAAACTGAGTTGTCAGCAATGTGGAAATTTTTATTTGTTTGTAACTGAAGTGTTTGTAGAGTTGGTCAAAGCTAACAATACTTCCACGTTATACGTCAAACAATATTTTCTATCATCAAGGAACTGGGCATCTGTTTGGTAAGTCTGATGAGTAAAAGCTGTCAAAATTTCTTCTTTCCTGTATCTTTTCTTAACAAAATCAGTGATGTTTTCACTGTGCTCTAAACACTTCCCTGTTATTTCAGTATCTGCCTGCAGTTCACCTTATTTTTTCTGTCATGTAAGTTACCGGTACATGGTCACAAAAATGAACAAGATGGGGTTGTCATTATGTAGCTCTAGTGTTCCTTGTTTGAGTACATTGACACTACAAACCCTTCTCTGTCAGGAGTCAGATCTCTCAGGATATTCACTTTCTGCTAAGATTTGTTATCTACAGCACAAAGTGTAGCAATTTCTTCAGATGACTGCCCTGTTTGAAATATCATGAACTTTTTGTACGGTGTGAATCATGAATAATTATTGTGTAAGGAGTGTAGTCTTTACCTTTCAGCCATCTGTATGGGCCTAGCCTATGTGTAGCCCTGCACCCTCCCCCCCTCCCCCTCCCTGGCTATATTGTATGGGCCTATTTGAGGGTGTGCTTTAAGCAAGACAACAAAATGAATTTGCATAACTTAAAAGTGGGCAAGTTGATTTCTTTTTAATTGAATCTGGAAACTTTGAAAAAATTGTAAGTGACAATTTATTTGCAAGATAAAGTGTGAATGACCGATGGTCCTTATTTATTTATTTATTTATTTATTTATAAAAAGCAAAGTATTTTGAGTGTCAGACCACTATATGTTTGAATTGCTTCTCTATGAAGGGAATAGTTAATATTTCCTTGTCTTGTAAAAAAAGTTGTTTCTTATAAAATGAGTGATAAAATATATTATTTTAAAATAGTAAAATTTAAGAACTGGAATTGTTGTATCTCTTGCTGCTTTGAACATTCAATATTTTGTAATAAAAGAGAGTTTTGGTTTGAAATAGGGTATCATTTATCAAGAAACCAAAACAGTCTGGTATTAAAGATAGATCATGAATAATACCGTAGGGGTCAACCAGTGTTCAACCTGAATTGAGGGTCGATTTTTCTAGCCTGGAAAAACAGTTGACATTTCGTGATACCACCACTGGTTTCCCCGCGAAATGATGTCTGAGTAGACTGCGAGGAGTCTCTTTTTCTTCAGAGTTTAGTGAGGGAGTGCATGCGCGTGAGCGTCAACGTGAGTGGTCATTTGTGTGTGTCGCGCGCTTTGCTCAACGTCCTAAACAGACCAAGAAAAAAGAGAGACTCCTCGTAGTCTATGTCTGAGGAATAAGTTCAAATTCCATACTGATGACGTGTCTGTGCCAAGATCTGGGTAGTGCTTCTGATTGGTTGTAAATTTGCTTCAACCAATCTGAGTGCGGCATGGCATATATATACATTTATTTTAACAACTCAGTGGTTCTGTTAGATGTCATAAATTGTACTGTACGGCTATTTGACAAGACCAATACCCATCCATCTCCAACCCAACACAGTCTGCTTTTTGTGAAGTTTGGATGGAATACATCTGGTTGGTTTTGGTGGAAAATTTATAAAGCAATGGAACGTCTGATTTCTTCAATGGCCTGCGTGGCAGGGTCTCCAATCGGTAACCGCTCATTTCACCCCCAAGTCATTTCGCCCTGGTTACTTAGCCCCCTATTAATTCCAGTCAGTTAATAACTGGGGCGACATGACCTGTAACCCTCCAATTCCCCTCCCCTTTTCTCTTCCTTTTAATTCCTTTCCCCTGTTGCCCCTTTTGACGCCTGCTACTCAGGCTATTTCTTCACTGAGCCATCGTTGTTACCAGTTTCAGACTTTCGCGGCCGTTTTTCGGTAAATGGAACCGATTGCAAGCAGTTCAGGCAGTTTTCCCACTTCGACTATATAATACTACTTCCGGTATAGTCTGGTCAGCGGTTTTAAATTTGGCACATGTGAATTCTATCTCCATCCGGTGACGGCCGGTGAGTTTTCACCGTTCGATAAATAAAATCTGCGAAGTTTTGGCGAGTTGAAGTGTATTTTGGTCGCTGAAATGTCTTCGAGTGAGTTGCTCAGGTGTTATAACAAGGGATGCGGGAAAGAATACAGAGAAGAAGAAAATAGAGAAGGTGGGTCATGAACTCGAAGCGCATCAGTTGGTTATTTTCTAACGGAGCAAGAGTTAAATTCCGTTTTGACAGCTTTTTTTTCCCCCAGTTCCTTTCGGTTCCTATGTGTTCCACTTTCCATGGAAAAATGACTATTTAATATTGTTTGTTTTAGATTTAGGTCTACGTTTATAGCTTGTCTCCGCGTAAGATCGTTGAAATGGGCAACTTGATTTAAGTTCCCGGCTATATTGGATATGTCATATCTGCGTATGCTTAGCAGAAAACAGCGTGAAACGGTAATTACCAGTTTCTGAGTTGGTAAAATGGCAGCAAAAACAGTTATAGTGGAAAAAAATGTTTATGCCAGCGGATTTGCCAAGTTAAATCGTAAATCTTCAACAGAAACGATGAAGGTGGCTCGAAACTAAGACTGCCTTGTGGATGCCTTGACCTTTGTATGACTTGGATGCTGAGCAGGGTACATAATAAAAGACAAGTGTGACGTCACGTTACCATGGTAGATCTCAACAATTTTGGAGTTGGTGATGGCTGCGAAAATGTCACTTAACAAGGGACTCCAAAAATTAAGCGCAATTATCTCAATTCACTCACTTTGTCCAATGTAGGTGAACTCTCCTGGAACTGAATTCTTAAGAAAGCTATTTAAGCGAGTGCCTTATGGCGCATACTGTCCAGTTACTAAGGCATGATGCATACTGTCCTGTTAAACTGTCCTATTATAGCTGAAATCAGGGCAGTTGATAACCAATCAGATTTGAGAATTTTGTTATATAGTTATGATTAAACATGAAATCAGGCAACAGACCTTTTTACCGATACAGCAGCCATACTGAATTAATTGGATTTAAGGAGTATTATGGGATGCCCAGGGGGCATCAGCAAGATCCAGTATACTCAAGTCAGTATGTACGCGGGCTTTTTGGGCCAATTTTTTTAAAAAGTTTTCTTAGAAATAGATTGTAATGGGAAAAAAGATTGTTGTGCCGTGTTCGGATGTAATAATGATCGCCTTTTTCCCGAGAAATATACATTGGTGGTCTTTTTTTGCCCAAAAAGCATGCGTAAATACTGAGCGAGTCCCCCCTGGGCATCCCATAATACTCCTTAAATCTAATAAATTCAATATGGCCTCCGTATCAGTAGAAAGGTCTATTTACATCGTAGTCATGCAGTGATGGCGAAGAAATGTACAGAAAAGTGTGCTGTACATGCAAAGTTGTTGTTTTGCTAATCTAAACCTTCTGCTTTTTTGATGTTCTTGTTGCTGTCGCCGTGAAACTCCCTAGATTAGGATATTCAAACAACTCAACATGTTTAGAATAATTAACAATTATTCCACAAGTGCACGTTGGATATGAGATGGTAGTTAGCCAGCGAGGCGCATAGCGCCGAGTTGGCTATAATCATGTCATATCCAACAAGCGCGAGGGTGAAAAAGCCCACAAAATATCCAGAATTCTTCGCGACTTCATTTGTGAAACAACCGATTTTCAGCTTGTTTTTAATTTTGAGCAGACGCATATAGTTACCATATTTGGAGAGCATGGTATAATGGCTCATATACCATTATGGCTAAGCCAATCAGAGCTCTAGAATTGCATTATCCAATGATTTAGTTTTAATAATGTCTATTATTGTAATGGTTCTTTCTACAATTAATTGATTTGTGGCTCATCAGGGAAGAAAGATGTGCAGATCATGAATTCAATAAAACAAACTTTACATTTACTTGTATTGTGGTGTGTGGATTAATTATTTATAGTGAATGTTTCGGACATCTAACAGTAAGTCTGGCTAATACCTCGCAATGATAATGAACTTTGTATTAAAAAATGGAGTGAAATTAGGGTCATGGTAACAACAATTAATGCATACATGTAGCTTTTGACGTCCTTGTCAAACAAGCCATTTGGTTACAAAGCGTGTGTCTCTCCCCTTAAACTCCTCCACCTAACTATGGGAAAGATCGCATCTATCAAACTAGGTTTTAAGAAAGAAGTTAAACTTGACACTTGCAGTTTAAATTCTCCACCCTACCTAAGCAAAGGTCAAATTCCCACTCCCCGGAACAGGTGATGGTCAGATGCCTGAGGTTTGCCTAGGGAGGATGTTGAAGTTTTGTATAGATTATTGCACGAAAGTAAAATGCTTTGCCACTAAATAAAGAAGGGTTTTTAAAGTGCAGGTTGTCCTAAAATAATATCCACACTGTAGCTGAGTAGTGCGGTGATATTATGTTATTGTTTTTCAGGTAAGTGTCTCCACCACCCAGGTGCTCCAGTTTTTCATGATGCATACAAGGTACAAATGCTCAGTGCTTTTAATATGTGAAATAAAACCATAAATGATGGCCCCTGATGTAACATATATGTGTCTCCATGCTGTCTGATAGAGTCCCATGGTTCTTTTGTTCTGCTTTTGATTATAGGGTTGGTCTTGCTGCAAGAAAAGGGTCACAGATTTTACAGAATTCCTCAACATTCCTGTAAGTATTTATTGTTAATAATAAAAGTTACTTAACCATTCCTCAAAGTGAAATATTCTTTTTATGCATCTTTTATGGTGTTAAAGACTTTGGTCAAGGAGATTTAAGGGGATAATCATTATATTGTAATAATATTATATGCAATAATCATTAGATCAAGCTGAGTATGATATTATGAAGAATAATCATCTGGGCACTTAATGACTTTCTGTAAAATAACTGTTCAAAGGAGCAAATATTTTGTAGAAATTTCTAATTCCTGTGAAAGGCTAACAAGGTCTGGAAAACCATTTCTAAGATACTCTTAGTTTTTCTGCTAACTTACCTAAGATTTTCGGAGGCTGTGTTTTTAACATTTTTTGTTTCCAAGTTTAAATATGTGATTATAATGTGAATGAAAGCTTAAGGTGTCCTGAAAATTTTGGTAGGAAGAAATATCGTGTTACATATAATAATGAAAGTTAATGGCTACTCCGTGTCCTTGAAGTTTTAACCCAGCTCATCTGGCTAGCTATAACAGTTTGAATGACGCAAAAGAGCCACCTAAAACTAAGACATCCAAACGTGTAAATAGTTTCAGGGCAGCTCCAAATTAACCAAACAGGCTTCTAAAGCATAATGAAAATCATTTGAGACACTTCTGACATATTTAAAAACATTTGGTCATTGGGTGTCCCTGAGTCATTGATGGAGATATACTTTGAATGAATATTTAAGTATAGTGAATTTTTTAATGAACTTAATTCACTGCAGGGTTGCACTGCATCAAGTCATAGTAATGTGAAACCACCTGAACCAGAAAAACCAATAACAGATGAAAAACCTCTTGGTCTTGATGAAGTAAGTATTCTTTAAAGAAGGATCAAGTGTTTGTGCAGAACCAGAGAACCTCATGATCATGGTGGCATTCTTCATTAGCAGTGGCCATCATGGAAAGAACTAGTTAGAACAGGACATCAAATTATAACTAATGACAGGAAATTGATGCGTGCAATAATATGGATTATTATTCATTCAAAATATTTGGCCTTTCTGATTAACTTTAGTCCTGCCTAATTCTTTATGTTACCAGCTGGTGCTGGCCATGTCTGGAAGATGTGGGAAGTAACCAACTGATTGGATCGGTTATTGTTCCAAAATAAAGTAGCATCCTCATTCCTAGGCTGCTGTACAGGAGCCCAGCTGTTCATGCATGAGTGAGCTCAAACAAATGTTGAAAGAGTTCCTGGTTTTCCAAAGATAAAATAGACAAATTTCTGACTAAAACCGAATGGAGAAAATGCAAGAATATGCCCAAAATACTAAGTGATGAATGTCATCTCTCTTTTGGAGGGGTGTTAGAAGAAAACTTCCGTTTTAAAAAATCCTGAAACTGTGCCAACAAACAGAGCAAATGAGTAGATAAGGTTGTTAAGAACTTTTAAAAAATAAAGGAAGAATAGGAAGGAAGTAGTCGAATTCTGTTCATGGTTTAGGTTAGAATATCATGTGTACAGAGTACATGTAGGTCAGAGAAAGGCAAACAACACAGTAAACTATTGCCATGCAAAGGCAGGTAAACATCAGCTCAGACATGTACAGGTATGTGTGATAGTATCCACGGCAGATATTGTTTATCTTGGTTGACATAATTTTGTTTTTTCTCCCAGGTGATAAAAGTCGAACCTCCCAGACGGAAACCTTTACGTACTCAGCCTGTTGAAAGGCCAAGGTATATAGTCATCAGTTTCTTTAAGAATTGTGTGCTGACCAACTTGCGTGATTTTGTTTTGTCACCAGCTTATTGACTGTTGTTGTTTTTGTCTTGTGTAGTGATGATCTTCCCAAGAAACAATTGAAGATGTCCGTGATGGAGTCTTTAAAAAAGGCTCTGCTTAAACAAAGAGAACAAGAAAAAGATAAACCTGCTGCAAGTGACGGTTAGTTTGTAAATAAAGGCTTAAGGTGAAGGCTTTTAGACAGGAACAAAATGATTGGACAATTTTAAGTACCGCAAATGCTCTATTAAGCACCCCCCACCCCACCTGTTCAGGGGAAGAAAATTAATAAGCTCCCCTATCTATTAAGCTGCCCCTCCCCACCCCCCACAAAATACATCTGATGTTACCCCCGCCTCCAGATATAAGCCCCCTTCTAGCTCGTCATGCGATGAATTCTATTAAAATCATTTTGATGATGTTTTGAAGCCTAAAAACAACGAATGTAAAACATACAATTTTGATTAGTACTGCCACAGCTTGTTTTGAAGCCCTTAGCTGTAAGTCTGTCCATTTATAAGCCCGCCTAAAACCAGCCTTATGAAGATGCATAAGCCCAGAGCTTATAAGTGGCAGGTTATGTTATAATGTCCATTTATTATTTTATATTCTATTTCTTGTGCTTGGGCCTTTTGACTGTCTTTCTTTCTTTTCACTGATGAAGTAACCTAATTATGTGAACCATAGACGAAAATAGGTAGAAGTGGATGTGATCCATGACTGCAGTTAAGTGAACAACCTTGGTCGATAAAAAGAACAAAAAATATTCATGCTTGAATTAAACAACCAGGCCAACCTGCGCGCAGGCAAATGAAGTGTGAATTTGTATTTCTTCTGATGGAAACCTAAAATAGAGCTGTATAGTCATTATGGTGTTTTACTCTTAAGGAAATGAAACTGATGGTGGCATTAAACCTGGCACAATGTGCAAGAACAGTGGTTGTAATAGGGTATGTGCGATCAATACTTCAATCATTTCCTAAAAGTCTTTCTTCGATGCACTGAGATGTTATGGCCAAAATCCTTCATAATTTAGTGCTTTGTATCTCTATATTTCAGTCATATGTAAATGAAAGTACCAATGATGAAAAGTGCTGGCACCATTATGGAGTTCCAGTCTTCCATGAAGGGTAGGGTGAAAAGTCATCCATAAATACATTTTATTCTAAAGAAGGGAGGCGTGTGTGGCCTAGCAGTTAACACCTCGAACTCCTGAGGTCTGGGGTTCAAGCCTCGCCCGTTGTGTTGTTTCCTTGACAAGTTTTGTTCTCACCCAGGGCCCAGTTGTTCGAGACAAGGGGTTAATTTTAAACCCGGTTTCACTTTTTTCAAAAGTTTTCTCTAATTTTCTTTCACCCAGGTGTAAAAAATAAAACTGAATTTGCTTCATATCTGAAATCATATTTCGAACCCTTTAACTCTTTGAAAAACCCGCCCAGGGGGGTACCACGGACTTAAACCCTGCAATGGGCTAGCATCCCACCCAGGGGGGAGTAGCAATACTCACGGGATGCTTCATGCTAAGGAAACGAAGATAAGCATTAGAGGTCTAGGCCTTTGGTTCGCATGCACCTTTACTTTTTGTTTTACACAAGCATATTATTGTAGCTACAGTGTAGGCCAGTCAAAATAGGCCAACAATCAGTGGAGGAATTTAATTATGTTACTTTTGTTCTTTTGTTAGGTATAAATTTTGGTCTTGTTGCCGAAAGAGGACGACAGATTTTGATGAATTCTTAAAACAAGAAGGGTGTACTTCTGGTTCCCACAGGTGGGAGCTCACAGAGGAGGTGAGGGACATTATAAGCACACATGTCATTTGATACCAGTCACATCACCCATAACACTAAATTAGCCCTTAACAATATTATGTGCCTTAATAAAAGCCTGTGCTCTAAGGAAAATTGAAGGGAGTCCAGTGCTCTGAACTTGTGAAATACAGTGTCTCTAGCATGATTTGTATGAAAAAGCTAAGATTTTCTGGTCGCCCGAGAACAAAAGTTAGGCGCCACAGGCCACTGGGCTCTGCTAGAGCACAGCCTTGTGAATGGCTTCCTGCTTTGTTAAGAGAAGTGTAGTATTAAACTTCTTTGTAAGGTGTTTTGACTCTAGATGTTAAAGAGGCTTTGTCTTGACAGTCCAGTTTATTTTTTAGGTTTCTTGTTCTCTGTCCTGCTCTTTGTCACGTGGCATTTATAGATGATTACAGAACAAATTGAAACAAACACGGGGGCGCTATTTTTTCAAGTATACTTAGCCCACATGCAAGTTCTCGAACCCTTAAACCACTGGCAAATGACTTCTAGTTCTGCCTCTCCCAATTCTCAAATGGAATTCTTGCTCTTTTGTTTATGTTTAGTTGAATGCAATTCATTTAAATGTTCCTCATCTTTGTCCTTCCATGATTGTTTTTTGCCCTACTGAATTCCCCTTGTGTTCTATAGGTCAAAGTTGCGGTTATTTTGATATTTTATTTCATTCAAATCTGTGACTGTTTTTCAAGTCCAGAAATCATCTGAAGCTACCTTCATATTGTATGCTTTATTGCTCTTTATTGAAATCAGCCACAGTGACTCAACTCGGTGACAGGGAATTAAACAGGACTAATGTCCCAAATAAATCAACCCCTTCGGTACCCACCCAGTCCATGAAAGGTTGTACAGCTGACTCCCGATAATTCGAACCTTCAAGGGAAATAGAAAAAAGTTCGACCGAGGTCGAGGGTAAAATTATATAGCCTGAAGGGAAATGTAAATTGCCTTACTTTTGAGTTAACAGAGGGGGTTCTTCTATTTCGACTGTCCCAAAAATGCCTCCTACTTTTTATGAACAGCAGTGTGGGTTCTTCTATGTCCCAAAAGAATCAGAACAGTGAAAGCTGACCTGTAAAACAGGGCCTACGGGTTTTTGTCCTTACATTTATCTGAGGAGACTAGAATGACTAACCATTTGTAGATGTCACAACAAAGACAGCACATTGTCTGGCCGGGGTTTAAACCCACGACCTCCCACTTGGCACACCGGTACTTATCCAATTGAGCTAACTGGGTGGCAGCTTATTATGATCAAACTGCTACTCAATTCAAGTTGTAGAGTATCAATGCTTCAAACAGCCAGTTATAATAAAAATGACTCACTTTCATTTAAGGTGCCACAGTAAATTGAGTAAAAACCCTACCATATATGGGCTAAAAACGTGGTTTTTTTCAAGAACCTGTAAAGGGTAAAAATTTGCCATTTGTAGAATAGGGTATCATTTTTCAGGAAACTGATCAAAGAACCTATTCAGCCTAAAATTTGGGGAGTTTACTCTAGTATTGAAACAGGTTCTTATTTTCCAGGCTCCCAGCCCAATATCTCTAAAAACTAAGAACGTTTTTTAAGAACCTGTAAACCCCTTGGGCAACAACCTGTTCAGATAAAATAAACATTCTTATTTTCTAAAATCCTCTTTGGAGACATAAGGTGCATTCAGGATCCTCCATAGGTGCAACTGTAATGGTATACAGGTTTTTTCTTTAGGAATGAGCTGAATACCACAAAATACTCAGAGCTCAGCTACCATGCTTTTTAGGCTATTTAGGTTCTTAAGTAACCTAAATTTGTGCTAATTACCATTTGTGTAAGAACCTGTTTAGACTGACTTGAGAGATTGCAAGTTCTTAGTCGCAGGTGTTTACTGTACCCAAGTGGTTCCCCATTAATTGAAACCACACTTGTTGGTAGTTCAGAAAAGATCGGTTATGTCAGCGTACGCAAATAGAAGATTTGCCTTTTCTAAGCCTGTGAAAGCAAATTCTTGTTTTTTTTTGGTTTTTTTTTGGCAGGAAAAAGAGAAGAAAGTCCTGTGCAGGTAGGATTTACTTTTTAGAAATTGTTGGGAATAACTTTTTTTTCTGTAAAAAGCCAACATGGCACGACTAAAATTCAAATCGTTATTGACTGCTATATTTCCGGACATAACTGAATCTGAGGCGGAATTAAAGGCCTTTTCAGCAAAATATCTTGAATAGCCCATTTTACAGTTACAGGTGAAAACGACGCTGGAGTTGACATTTGTTTTGATACAACCCTTCTGCCTTTATTATGTAAATAATATTTTTCTTATGCTAACTAGTATTTTTAAAGTATAACTTCCATGAGAAAAAGAAAGAGGTTTGTATCAAAACAAGGTCAACCTCAGCCTCACGTCCACTTAAAGGCTAGGATACAAAGCCCACAACTGTAAAATGGTCAATCGACACAGTTTACTTGTAAAGGCAGATTACTTAGAAGAGTACACGAAAAAGGTAATATCAAACCTTTCGTAGAATGAGAGGTCTCTTAAGAGAAAGCACGCGTAACAATGTTACAGTTAATAGCAGCTTAAGATTGAGGGTTTTCGGCATTTCCCGCGAACCGTGATCGTTAAGAAGTCACGTGACCAGGACCTTGCCGTCAGGTTTGCGGTTTGAGGTTCACGTTTGTACGGCTTGGACCACGCTCCAGGGGTAAGTGATTTACCGCAAGGTTTTTTGAACCCTAAAACATCACAACCCCAAGTTTGAGAAGAAATACGACTTTTTAGAAACATATTTTATTTGGCGGGGGTACGCACAAAGCAATTACGAGAAAGAAGAGGTTGGATCCTCTTCCAGCAGGGGTATTTTGCAGAACGCCGAATGACTCTGAGTTTAGTAATTAGGGTTAGAAAACTGAGTTAGCCTGCGTAGCAAGCGTTTCCGTTTGGTTTCGGAGCAAAAAGAGACCGTGGAAGGGGATTTTCGGTTTTGATCGCGCCGCAAATTAAACGAGAACCAAAAAATGAAAGAGAAGGGGAAGAGGTGGATCCTTTCTTCCAGCTCTTTTACTTGTACCATTTTTGGCGGTCTTTTGTTCCTCGTTCTTCGAAACCTGGTTCCTTTTAGAATGACTCTGAGTTTTCATTCAGTTTCCTAACCATAATCTTTAAACTTCAAGGTCATTCGGCGTAGACTACGAAGTTTAGTGATTAATTAGGGTTAGAAAACTGAGTGAATCAAGTTTCAGGTCACTTTTCCCGGTATCATGACCCTAAATGAAACCTGAGAGACATAAGTTGTTCGGCGTTCTGAAAAAAACCCCTTCCGATTCTCTTCGCCTTGCCGCTTGGCCTTTCGCTCGCGCTAGAGAGCTCGCTTGCGGACCATAACTACCTCTTTGTGTGAAACATGCACACATACTTGTCCGTAACTAGTGTTACTTCTTCCCGATATGTAAAGCCAGGATTCCCAGCAATGTGGGCCTTTTTTAGCTTAAATTGTTTATCTTTTGTAATGAAGGTATGACTGGTACGCAATGGGAAACTTCATCGTTGTGTCAATTTTTGCGAAGTTGAGCGATCCTGAGCAAACCGTCGTAGAAGCAAATCAAACTGTGGTAAGTAGAGGTTGAATCTGCACATTTTGTGATTATTATTATTTTTTTGTATTATTGTCTATAAGGAAAACGGTCTTAAATACTACAAGATAAAGAAAAACAGTGACTTTTGTTTCCCCGAACTTTTTTTGGTTGAACAAGTCATTTTTTATTTATACCACCCATGTCAAAATTGAGACAAGTTCTAAGGGCCTGTTTACATGGAGGTGGGGGACCCCAGATAGGTGAGGTAACATGTGGCGGGTCACCCCACCCATCATGTAAACGTGATCAAATTAAAATGAGAGATTATATGGACAGGCAGGTTACCCCACCTAAGCGGGTTGAATACCTAACCTACATGGGGTCCCCTACCCCCATGCAAACAGGCTGTAAATGAGTCTTTCGGCCATTATTGCGACTGGCACATGCATTTCCCCCGTTTTCTAAGAACACGACCTGGTCACGTGCGAGTCTTTTGTTCCCTTGGGACATAGTTAGTGACACGTTCTCTTCCATGCGGAAAACGCGCTTCGGTGGAAAGGTGTAGAAAGTCACGTCAGAACTCATTGTTTCCTTGGATAAGTCAACAAGTGCTTAATTGTACGTGTTGTGTTCGTTAACAGTTACATGCTCACGTTTCATTTGGTGGTTCCAACGTGTTTGAACTCCATCTTCGTCTTCATGGGGTGAGTTTAACCTATTTTAAGGCCGCGTTCACACTTAGTGGCCTGGCACGGTGCCCTTGTACGGTTCCTGCTGCGCACTAATGTGAACACAAGTACCCACGCCAGAATATTCGGGCACGGTGCCAGTAGCCGAATACATGTTGTAGATATTGTACACGTAAGGTAGCGTTCACACTTGGTACCTGGGCACGTTGCGGTAGTACGGTACTCGCCAGGGTTCTCAATAGATTTTTAAGTAGGAGGTGATCACTGATAAAGTAGGAGGCTCTTCCGCAAAGCCAGAGGTGTCAAAACAAAGCAAAGAAAAGCGACTTAAACACAAAGTAAGCGGCTGTAAATCCAAAGTAAGCGGCGATCAATCGCCGGGTGCCGCCTTCTGTTGAGAACCCTGACTCGCTGGGTACTAATGTGAACACACCCTTTTTTAGTACGCTGGGTACTAATGTGAACACACCCTTTTTTAGTAGGCTGGGTACTAATGTGAACACACCGTTTTTTCAAGAACCTACGCTAAAATTCGGCCACGGTGCCGGTGCCCAAGTACAAGGTCTCGACCTTGTACTCAGGCACAACAGTGGGCACCGTGTCCTTGTGTACAAAGCGTTTTTGTTTAGTTCTGGGGCAGTCCACTGCTTTGTTCTCGCTACTAAGCTCATATTTCAAAGTGGCGTCTCACAGGGCGAAACGAATTTACTATGTACGCAGTCACATATCGGATACTCAAGGTGTGAACACAACACCATTTTGTGCCGGTACCCAAGCAGTGGGTCCCGAGCACCTAGTGTGGACAGCCCCTTAGTTTACCTAAATAGACTCACCGCGACTGACTGCTATACTCGCCATGAAAAGACCTGACAAAATTTCGCAACAATCCTGACAAAGCTTAAATAAGCTTGCAGACAGTTTTGTAACATTTGGTACTTAAATAGCTGTGTTTTGACATAAATCGAAGTTTGTGACTGATTTTTTTGCCATTAATTTACCTCCACGAGAGTGTCATATATCACAATTCTTCTCCACGCAGTTCTCATATGTTATTTTCATATATTCATAACTTCATCGGTGTCACATGCCTTTAACACCATCAAACCGCGGCAGTATCAGCGCAGTCGGTAGAGCGCTTGACTGCAGAGCGAGAGGTCGCGGGTTTGATTCGCGGAGCCAGACCAATATTCAGGGTCTTAAAATAACTGAGAAATTGCACTGTAAGCGGCTAGACCTCCGGTTGGCTCCGCTGACCACGTAACATGGTGGTCCCGTATCCAGTTGGAGACGTAAAAATAATGTCCCTGATTAGTACTTTCGTGCTAAATACATAGACACTCAAAGTGCACTTTTTAACCTTTCGGTTAACGCTGTATTTAACCTGCTTTTTAGAACCTGTTCTTCAAGGTTACTACCTTTGCACGTGTTATCTTTCAGCTTATTGTCCCAGAAAACAGCTCTGTAACGTTGTCACCAACCAAGGTGGAGATTAAACTTCGAAAAGAGGATATAGGAAAGTGGCCTTCCCTGGAGCTCAAATCAGCTAAGGAAACTACAAAATCGGAATAAAAACAACATTAATTAACACAAAGCACTGTGCAAACACAGCAAAGGAGAACGATTTGGAGTCTGAGATGGACGAAGAAAGAAAAAACAATAAACCAGCGTTTGAGGCGGGCCTGCTTACGGGTTGCGTACTCGTCTGATTCTCAGGGAGGGAGATCCTAGCTCAAGGCGGATCATCCTAGCGTCATATGTTTTCTGTATTCCGTTTATATGCAAAAGGTTGTACCTGTCCCTAGCGCTAGGATTTTCCTAGTATTAGGATCTTCTTAGGTGACTAGTAGGAAGATCCTAGCACTATGTAAACTGCCTTCGCGAGGAAGAACCTGACACTAGGTACAAACCAGACAAAAATGGCGGCGGGTTTTTCTGCGGGTAATCTTTTAATCTTAAATTCTTTCTCTACTGATAACCACACGGACCGAAATTTCTGCTTGTAAACCGAAAGAAAAGTTGGTCCGCCTTCTAGGATCTTCCTCCCTCCATTAAAACATCCCCTAATGCAAATATATGTTGTGTTTTAAGTCGTTTCATAGAATCGTTCTCTAGGATCTTTTCGGAGTCCTTTGCAAAAGGCAAGCGTGTTGGTCAAGATTTCAGACCTTAATAAATGATTTTGTTCACCCTAATTCAGTTCTAAATCCCATTTTTCAAGAGACCAAGAATCAAAACCCACCCGGTTTTTCAACATTCTGGTTCCCCTGAGCACCTAACTTTAACCTGTCCAATATTAGACCTGAAGTTGTGGAAACCATACCTAGCCTGTGCCAGGCTTTGGGTTAGTGCAGACGAGCGAAAAAAGCGGGCAAGCAGCGAAAACGGGAGCGAAGAGAAGGGGAGAGCCTGTAAGCCTCTTTTAATAATTCAGTCCGCCCAATAACTTGCCCACTTCCAGAAAAACCGTTTCTCGTGTCCAATAGTGAGGTGTAGGAGGGTTTCACCCGCTCGCCATGTAAGGTAAGGTTAGGGGTAGCGTGTTTCAGACTAAAAAAAGGTAATCTTTATTTATACACTGTGTAACAGATTCATCAGGCATGAAATATTACTAATAATAGCTGACACTACAGCTGCCCCCGTTTTGTATATTGTCGGCCAATAGTATTCTTGCTCGTTGTGTAGCTCTTTGAAATATACCGATTCATAATGAAGATTTTCACACATATTCCATACAATAGGTGAGATAAATACAGGAAACGCAAGGTTCCATGCACAGTTTCAGCTCGATTTACACAGCTTTGATCAAAACATTCTCAGTCTCGAGAATAGTTTATTCTAAACCATAAGAAAAGATTTAATTAGAAGTTGAATTTTTCGCTATTTCTCTTTCACTTTTTACATTCAGTTCATTTTATTTGCCGGAAAGTAATCCTTAGAAATTAAAAGGACGTTTGATCGATTGACGATCGCGCATTCTTGTCTTCTTTGAAACTTTATAACGGAAGGACATCTGTGAGCAGGGAATAAGTCAGCACAGAATTTGATTGTCGGCGAATTTCTGTAAGGGGCGGACCATGAGAAAAGTTACGGAATTTTCGAACTGCAGGAATTTTTTTAGGCGTTGGCATGAATTTTTGTTAGGGTTAATTGGCGTGCCTGAATTGTTTTCATTTAATTTTCTTTGCGCGAATATTTTTTTTGTACTTCGCCCATCCCCCCATAAGTTTTCTAATGGTCCTTCCCTTATCGTCCATCGTTCTGCTAGTGATAATCTAGCCGTTGTTCACTCGTCTTGCTTGTTTGGGGCTGAGTCTTATTCCGGCCAAAGAGAAAGAAAGAGCGTCTGGCAAGGTTTCCAATTTAAATCAAAGATTTGTGAACTCGTGTCTGGCAAACTCTCCCAAGTGTTTTTATATATACACAGTTACATGTTAACGCACCTTATAACCTCATCTACGCTTAACGAGTGTCTTTTGGTCCATAACTTTCAAAACAACTGCTCCACAGAATGTCACTGTGTAACGCAAAAGAGTATCAAAGTATGACTGCACAATAAATGTCACAAAATCTACCTGAGCGGTCCCTTCGGGATTTCCTTTCTTTACATCATCCTAACCATCTCGTACTTGCGGGCACAAACAATAGAAACGTCATCATTACCCACCGATTCCTCGCGGCCCCTGTTCAAGCAAATCGAGATTTTTTCTATATTGACTGTATGACAGTACATTTCAATTGTAAGTACTTTCCTTAATATACGCGCGAGTTACTAGAGTCCATCCTCGGGATTTCGCCTTCTGGGCGAAATCCCTGCGGGGGCAATAAAAAATTTAAAAACCTTAATTATATTTTCTGGGTTTCGCTAAATACAGTATTAAAATTATTCAATAAATTATACAGGAAAAAAGCCTGTTTTCCATGAATGCCGAGCCTTACTTAATATTTAAATGACTGTGCAAAAGTGACCTAAAATTACGTGGGGATTGTGCTTGCCTTAACGTTTCAGGAAGACTATTCCACAGAACAGCACCACTGTGGCGAAAACTATTACGGAGATAAAATTAGTGCGTGGCTGTGGCAAGAATGTTTGCAGCACTGCTCGAAAAAAATGGATTTACAACAACTACAAAATCAATGCAAATATGAATTAAATACCACATTTGATCAAATTTGTTTATTTTTTTGCCCCGAGGCAAATTTCATTGTTGAATACTATTTGCACGCGAAGCAAAGATGGTAAATACCGCATTTATTCAATATCTACATTCCAAAGCAAATGAGAAGAAAAACTGCACATTTGAATCAGATTCAACATGAACTAAAAAATGTGGTAACTAGATAAATCAGCTGCACTTAAACATGGATTTACAATTGTAGCAAGCATTTCGCTGCACTTCGTTTTGATTAAATTTACTTGCAATGCAAACCCAATGTTTGCACCATATTTACAAGTAAAGCAAACGCCGGCGGTGATTACTTTATATTTACCGAATAGGAAATACAACGCAAATGTCACATTTGCACAGCACATGTAATTGCATTTGAAGCAAAGATGATGAAAAATGTTTCTGAAATGTTGTTTACTACTTATTTTGCGCCGAATGGAAAATGGGACAAAAAATCCACCTTTGACCGTTTTACAGGGGCAGTAAACGTTAGGAAAGAGGGCAAATTTACTGCCTAAAAGGATGAATTTACAGGGATGGCAAATACGATCTTTGATCGTGTTTTATCCAGGCAAAATTCTTGCTTGCTATTAATTTGCACGGGAAGCGAAATACTAAATTTACTTCTTTTCCACACATCCACTACAAAATACGTACACTAGAACATTTGCCAAGAATCGTTGTTGTCGCAAAGAAATGCAGAAATATACGCTTAAACCGATTTTCTCAATGGGGATAAAATGTTTCAAAGTAAGCGTTTGCCTTGAAACTAGCAGAAATAAACGTATATTAAAACCAATTTTAGTAGTCGTTAAGTTTACTCCTCCTTTACTGTACAATGTCCCGAATTGTTTACTACATGTATACTAAAGAAGACAAACCGACTGTACGTTAAAGTGATATGTCAGAAGGATCCCCATTTTTGCCCTATGAACAGAATCAAAGGCTTTAGAGAAATCTACGAAAAATTGAAAAATATGTTCATTATAACCGTTAAAAATAAACCTCGGATCAGTTTGGGAAAGCTTGTGGTATTAAGCAAAAAGGGAAATCTAATTTTGAAGTGATTATTGCCACTTTTTTTGGGGGGGATGGGGGGGTCGTCGTTACTTTCGGAACTTACGGTAGACAAAATTGCATCCATGAAATTCATCTATTCAGGAAATTGAGATTCAAAAACAAATTCTGAAAACATCCGTGCTTCAGACAGAATCTCAGATCTTCAACTAGCGCCCTTGAGGATAAATGAAGTAGTTGTTGCAAGAAGGCTCCTTCGTTCAGATTCACGGTTTGTACTTGTCACCTCGTTCAGGCCCAGTTCAGAAGCAGCTCCACTCATGTGCCGAACCTAACTGATGAATTAAGTACGGCAAAAGAGCGGCGTCTGAATCAATTTGGTACGGCAGTTTTAGTTTGGTGCGACAAAAGCGTTAAGTTCGACAGTGTCGAACTTTTGTCGAACTTAAATCAGATGTCGCGCCAGTGTCGCTCCAAAGTCGAACTTATTCAGTTAGGTTCGGCACATGAAAAGTACGGCGTCTGAACCAGGCCTCATTACTTCAGTTTTCTTTCCTTAAAATTTGATCAAAATACAGCGGGCTAGAATATTTCGTGCATCCATCGGCCAGAACCGCACGAAAAGAGGTTTCGTGGTGATCTTAACTATTATTTTATTTTCATAAATGTAGAAAATAAAAAAAATTCCAAACTAACAACGAAAATGTTTTGTCCCGCACAGACTGAAAGTCAAATCCTTCTTTTAATAAAAAAACGACTCCACACGGAAATTATGTTTACGAGGTTTACGTAAGAGTCCTAGTTTGAAATGTAAATTAAAGTAATTTTGTGAAATCGAAACTTCCGTATTTTCGTAAAAATCTATGTAACACTTCAGATAAAATTTGTTTCTTAGGGTTCAGCAGCTAAATAATATAAAAGGAATTTGAAACGAAAACCACAGAGGAAGCAAGATGAGTAGATACCTTCAAAATACAAGTTAAATGTTATAAGCCCTAACAACATCATCGCGTAAAAAAACATTACACTGTCATTGAGATGTTTTCTTTGTAATATTAAAATTAATAGCTGACTACCGTAGAAACCTTTCTAGAAGTTGCTTTTTCTCCGGAAAAAACAAATTTTCCATCAACAACTGATTATTAATCATCCCTAAAAAGTCATTAGAGGGAAATTAATACTCTTACAGCTTTTATTTTACGTTTTCAAAGAAATCGACGTTATCAGTTGCAAGTCTAAATTATCGTAGTGAGATTAACGTGATAAATGAACTCTCTTGGAAGTTTGATTAATTGCATTGCCCTCTCAAAAAGTGTAAAATTGACATTACAGGTAAACTTGAGAGACGAGGCAGGTGAAATGAGGTACAAGATAAAAGTAAAGAGTTTAGGTTTCAATGAAAATGAGAGTTGTTGACCACTCCTCCGAAAGCAGCTGGCCAAATATTAAATAATAAGACAAGAAATATCAAACGTTCATCACTTCAAGCTCAGTTTGGAAGTCTCTTGAAACGCGGTAAGTCGTGGTAAGCCTCAAAGCGAAGAGAAAACACTCCTCGGTGCCTTGTGAAGGAACAAATCTGAATTACTGGTAAATGTAGGAGCTTCGAAATGCCTGCAGGCCCTTCCATCGAATCTGTGAACAGTACTAGCGCCTCCGACTGGTCACAAGAAGGTGAGTTTGTAAAGGGGATGAAAATAACTGCTTTCGTTTTTCTTATGTTGTTGTCTATGTTGGGCAACGTTTTGTTAATCGCAGTCGTGTACAAAAACGCTAATCAAAGAATGAGGACTCCAAGTAATTACTTCATCTTTAACATGGCCTGTGCCGATGTTCTGCTCACTGTATACGCCGTTCCCGACAGTATTGTCGACACTGCATATAGCCACCAGTGGCTTATCACGGGAGTCGCAGGCGAACTGCTTTGCCGTTTATCACAGTTCATTGGTCAAATGTCAGTTTTAGTGTCCACTGCAAGTTTGCTTGTGACTGCCTTGGATCGTTTTTTCCTGGTGTTTTATCCACTCAAGAGAATAATAACTCTTCGTATCGCCCGATTTTTGATTGGCGTCATTTGGATTTTTGCGATCGTGTTCACGGTGCCGTTATTCAAAATGACCACTTTAGTCGAATTCAAGCCGGATTTCCATGTTTGTACCTTCAATTTTGGAATCATTGGTTACGTTATCATTTATTTATTATTCTGCTACCCTGTCGTAGTATTACTGCCTATCATTGCTATCATCCTTATCTACGCTGCGATTGGATTCAAACTGAAACACACCATAGCACCTGGCAACCAACTCCCGTCAAATCAACATCGACGGGAACAGATGAACCGCAAGATATTGGCAATGCTTGTCACTGTTGTCGTTGTGCTAATCGTTTGTCGTTTTCCGTTGATTTTTGGAACGATGGCTTGTTTCTCTGGCTTAAACGTTGTCTGCTCCTGGAACTCTCTGTTCCTTGGCT